TCTGGCATAAAATGTGGTTCTATAGAACCATTTGTTGGCTACTGTCTCCAAATTTTACCCCATGATAAACGTGAGTAAATTGGAAAATGAATTGCGATGTATATACACCAATCAAACTTTTTTGAACATTACATCAACTTGCGCGCTCTATGGGTTCCTCATAGATAACACTCTAGTAACTACCTTTGCGGCGTCTGCAAAATTTCTGGACACATTTTGACGACGCCTATTTCTTCCGCCAACGCAGAGCGAACATTCAGCACGCTGAAGCGTATTAAAACGTATCTCAGAAACACAATGAAGCAAGATAGATTAAATTCCTTGGCTGTTTTATCCATTCACAGAGACGTTATTTCTGGGGTGCATGACTTTAATCAGCGCGTTATTGAGCATTTTGCTTCCAAGAAACCGCGGCGTGTTGCATATATGTTCAAGCAGTAGAAGTCTAGCAGCATAAATATCTATGAGTGAGCGACGCATGTCCTTATCTTTCCTTTCTTCATAGTAACGTTTTAAACCTTATTTTAGGTTTTGTCTGCTTTCCCGAAGTTTGTCATTGTATTTATCTGGGTAAATATTGCCTTTCCTTTTGAAAGAGGTTTCAAAGACACTTTCTTATCGTTAAAAATTGTCTCTTTTGGCGATTGGTTGTTACCGATGGAATGGTTTTTATACTCATAAAATGATGGGAGAACTTACAGCGCTCATCCTGCCCCCGTAGATGGGGGTGACTTGGTCCCGCAGTAGCTTGCCCCGGTTGTCAAAATGACCACGCGCCGCCACTGAGAAATAGTGTTAAAAACCTAGTAATTAGAAACGTCATTAGGTTCACATTGGCGAAACATACATTCTCGTGAAACATGAATTGTTTTGCAGCATCAGGTTTGAAAACAAGCAATCTTGGCAATTGATTAATACTGACGTTGAAACGCCAAGGCATGGAATGCTTTTGTTATATTTTTCTTGCTTTGTTGTTGTTCACTTTTATTTATTATGGTTGTTCATTGTACAGTAGACTATTAGTTACATGCGTTCAGAGTAACATTAATTGTCACAAGTTCGTTTGTTGTATTCTACTTGTTATTTTTGGACACGTGAGTGGATCGTTTTATATTTTGTTGATGTTCTTGTTAATTTTCGTCTTCATCATTATAAAATCGCTTTTCTCTTCGAATACTGCACCACTTGCTTTGAATTTCTCAGTACTTGAAGATTGATTGATTTGCCAGAAGGCTATTACTTTTATTTATTCCTTATGAGATCTAATATTTCATCCAAAACTTAAACTTTTTAATTATGGAAACACGGTTTTAATCCGCCAAGCGTGACGGCTAATTGTGAAACTTCTTTCATATGAAACCTCGGAAGTTTTTGAGGACACGGTACCGCCCGGTAACGTTTCGCTCTGGTCCACGTGTCCATACATTTGAGCATCACGCTCTTGTTTTGGTATACAATGTAGTGTTATTTGCTGTTTTATATGGCATGTACACCAGCACGACTTAAATCTTTTTAGATTTTTCCTACTTTCCTGATTTTACGTATATTTGTATAAATTTCTTTTCTTACATATTTCAATTCAGACTGCTGACGGAGATACCTTCATGAGAGATGTAAAAAAAGATTGTAGAATCCTGTGCTATGGAAAAGCATGCCCACTCTGGTAAAATGCATATTCTCATTGTATATGTGAAAAAAAAAGCTAACAATATACTCGCGAGAAATATACTCGCGAGAAATCGTTAGCCCTCCACAAACATTTAACAAGAAATGTATTTTTTTTCATTTAACATCGCATAACATCTAATCAAATTACTGAAACGAGCAAAACACTTGCCACAAGGTTAACATAAATATAGCCTTTCTCTAGTAAAATATTTAATACATCTGCATTGAAAGTATCTGTGAAATACTTCACACAAATATAGCTTTTCGAGGCCACAAAACACGTTCAACATATATTTCACAAATAGATGGCTTTTCTCTGATATGAATTGTGGTCGTTAAAAATATTGGATTACACAAAACGTTTGGCCCAAGACTTGCAAGAATATGAAGTTTCCCAAGTGTATGTTTGTGTGTGCCTGTTCAAATTATTAAAGCTATCAAACTTTCCATATATTCCAATAGAAAAAAAAATTCAGCAGTTGAGAAACAATTCCTACATATTTCGTAAGATTATAGCGTTTCATCAGTTTGAATTCCTGTATGTATTTTCAAACTACTTGTGTGTTCTAAGTGTCCACACACCATTTACTTAATCACTGTAAATAATTTTGGATTTGATTTGGAAGTGTTCTGTGATAGTGAAATATTGAATAATAATTATCACCAGATCAAATTATTTCAGTAGAATATATGACATTGCATATGTCAATCCAAATTATTACACTTGCCACATGAATAACAAAGGTATGGCTTTTTTCCAGTGTGAGTTTGCACATGTTTTTAAACTTTCCACATATTTCACAATTCATGACCAGATTGAGTTATAAGCATTTGCCACAATATCCACAAATATATGGCTTTTTTGCAGTGTCAGTTTGTGCATGACTTTTCAAAGTTTTTGCAACTAAGAAACACTTTCCACATATTCTTTCCATCAGTTTACTCTCGAATATGTATTTTAAAATTACATGCTGCTGCAAATCTTTTTCCATATATGTTGCTATGAAATAGCTTCTCTCCTGTATGTCTATTTAATGATTTACAAGAATGTGTTTTTGCTAATGCACGGGTTAGTTCATATACTTGCTCTGTTTAGTAGTGTCTGTTCTGAGGATAAATTTGTAATATATCGTAAAAATTTAATATTGTGATTGTATCCCAAAATATGACTGTGCGTTCTACCGTTTAATAAATCACTGTAAATAAAATAGTATAAGATTCGGCATCTGTGATTCATTTTGACTTTTCTCTAGCATGAATTCTGGACATGTTCTTATAGTGTGCGTTTGTCCAACGGTCAAGGCTTCTCTGATTAATTTTCTTGTTCAAGAAATTGTGTGTTCAAATCATTTACTGGATCACTGTAAATAGAAAAAGCATACGATTTGGCATTTTGGATTCGATACAAGTATTTTGTTGTAGTCGATTTTTCTGGATTGCCTAAAACAAGACATAGAACGTATCTTAATTATCACTCTTCCTCATTATAAATATGGAGTCTCCGCTAGTGAACATTATTCATCTCTTGAATCCAGCTTTTGTAAATAATTCAATCTCAAAATGATAACTATATCTCACCATTCAATGGCCAAGTAATTCAACGTGTATAAGATGTTAATTCAAAACTTTATTCCTATCGATAGCTAATCGTTGATTCATCGGTGCATGGAGCGATGGATGCTGTATACATACAGGAGTATCCAGAACTCACAGAGGCATCACACACTATATCGTAATAGACTCTTGTGAAATGTGTGGAAATAGCTTTGCAACATCTGGTAACTTTAAACACAATAGGAGAGGTTACACTGGCGACGAACCACACTTCTGTGAAAAAACTCCAAACACTTTGAAAACATGAGAATTTACACTGGGTGTAAATGTTACTCTCGCAAGAGATATGAAAATGATTACCGTATGTAGAATCGTGTTCTAAAACAGAATTTATATATGGATATATAGTATCCATGAAGAATATAGATTTCCTCAGCGTTGACAAGTATATTCGACTTCATTTTATCTACCAAACACTCCCCACACGTTTCACAAATATATAACTTTTTTCTTGTATGAGTTTCGATTGTATTTGAATTGCATAAAACAGTTGCCACAGGATTATTTAATTTGTAGCAGCATATGCGCAGTCCAGACTGGTGAAATATGTGGAAATAGTTTTGTGACATAGAAACTTTGTAAAAGCAGATAAGATCCACACTCTTGGCTCATCTTCAATATTTCTACAGCGTTACATCTACGCGTCCCACAAAAGCATCGAAATCCTACTTTCAATCATTGAAAACTTTGTTTCGAATGACTGTGTTGACAGTGTATGTAATGTAACAAAATCAGAATTAAATTTCATTTTCTTGGTTTTCTGAGCCAACAACTTTTTTTGCATATTTTCTATGTTTATCCATCCGTGGTTTTTGTCCCTCAACATGGATGCCCTCCTTAACTTCTCAACTTTTTGGGTTGGCAAGTACTTTGACTTCGATTACCACCAATAAAAAGTCTGACTCGAAAGGAACTTCAAAATCATACTCTTGCCCTATTTCCGACTAGAAATACAAAGAGATGGCCAAAACCGAATGCATTATGAAATAATAAATGTATTCTGAAATGGGTCTGTTTCACAGGAGAAATTCATATACTTCGAATTTGGTTATGCAGCGTAATGGATATGAACATTGATTTAATAAGTATTCTCTATTTTATTCTGTAATTTTTCGTGCGTTAAAATAATGCATGCTGTAGAAGACATTTACAAGTGAAATATTCCAAATTCTTCCTAAAATTTACTAAATCAAATACAACCAATCTCGATGTATGCAACCATTCTATTCATTTTGGACATCCCTGAAAACCTAGATCCGAAGTCAGTCTTCAACATCAAAAACACTCTTTTAAGCTCAGTAGCTCGGAAAATAAAACTGCACTGTAATGTGAAGTTTATTCGTCTCAGTGGGTTAAATGCATTGAGGTAGCATTGTTATAAAAAAATTCAAATCTGATAAAATAATTGCATATTTAAACATATATATTCAGTGCATAGGGGAATATACATATTAAAATTGATTTTCTCAATAGTACGTAAAAGCATATTAGCCCATCATTTATTAAGTGAATTTGCTCAATGAAGGTTACGCGCTTCAACTCCAATGGAGACTCATCTCAGAACAAAGTTACGGGCACTCACTCATAAGTAAAGAAGACTCTTCTCTGAGCAAAGTTACGGGCACTCACTCAGAAGTAAAGAAGATTCTTCTCTGAGCAAAGTTACAGGCACTCACTCAGAAGTAAAGGAGACTCATCTCTGAGCAAAGTTACGGGCACTCACTCAGAAGTAAAGGAGACTCATCTCTGAGCAAAGTTACGGGCACTCACTCAGAAGTGAAGGAGACTCATTTGTAAGCAAAGTTGCACAGTAATGATGAAAATATAAACTACAATCAATTAATAAGTTATGTTGAAATACTCTTAATTATAGAAATAAAGCCTACAAAATTTCTAAAAACACAGGGTGAAATTTGGAATGAGATGATTGTTATCAATGCTGGGCGATACAGTAATATAGTTCCGTCCTTTAATGTTTGATTCACAGGAAAAAAGTCTACGAATAATTAACTTACTTTGAGATGAACCAATATAGAATGAAATTCTAAGCCAGGCGTGGGCAATTATTTTTCTGAGTGGGCCAGTTACAGATAATAGATTTGGTTACTGAGCCAGAGGCTCAAAACTACAAATAAAAAACATTTCATTTACAAATATATAGAATAACCTATATAAATATATATAGCCTAATTAAATACCAAAAATGAAAATTAAATATCGATCAATTCAAATCTATTTTTACTTCCATGTTCCTGATCACCTTTGATCTTTGCTACTTCAAGTATGAAATCACGCACTAACTGCCTTATCACAGGATACTTAGCAGTATAGTGCTTCACTCCGTAATCCTCGTGCATTCGAATGAAGCGAATGTAAGGAGATTTCGTCATGGGGTCAGAGGTTGTCTTCTTGTACAAAGTCTCACCTAGATGAATGTCTATTCTGTAAAGAATAAAGTATTTCGGTTTGAGAATTGAATTTCCTATTTAAAAAGAAATCAAATTCGATCAGAAAACGAAGCTAATAAAGCCTTTTAACTAGATTTTGCATTCATGTTGCATCAACACCATGCAAATATAGCTTTTACAGGACACTCCAGCAGTGTGTGTACCAAACAGAGGTAACTAATTTCACATACTCTACATCAAGTTGTGTAAAGGGACTCAAACGTATGGGCAGGGGGTTATATTCACTTGGCTAACACAAACAGTTTCTGAACTCGTAATAGAACTAAAATAAGAAAAATTGATATAAAATTATAGCCCAACCTGGTACACACAATACAAGAATATCATTTTACAGACCCTGGCTTGCTTTAAGCATGGGAAATTCTGAAGAGATATCAATAGAAAGCGGAGAATGGGATTCACATATTTATCTCGAGGGAAGAAAGCCGCTAAGACAGCTTATTAATCATATGACTAACCACGATTACCAGTCCATGTCGGGTATGAGTATAGTTAGCCAGTTATTTGTTTCCAGATGCTTAGACATGCTGCTAATTGGTTATCTATTTGTTTTTTATCAATCTGTCAAATATGATATTTGTTATGTTAAGGAGTTGAAACTTATAATAATTACAGTACTGTAATACCGTACCGGTAAATATTGTAAATGTTAGATGGTGGAATTCAGAGACATGAACTTGATGACGAAAGATACGTGGACCACCTTACGACAGCAAACAGTTCCGCAAGCCATATTCTCAAAAATAACATGTTTTGAACCTGTGAACTCTTGAAGGGCTCCACGTAAACGTGTTACTTACGCTTAGAACGATACACCAACTGACAAGCCATAATTTTCAAATATTCTTGCCTACAAACCTCTGATCATCTTTAGCATGTAAAATCATAACAGGAGCTTTTATTGTCGACAGATACTTTTCAGTCCTGAGCTCAATGTCATATTCTTGTGAACTCGAAACCTCATGAAGGGATAGAGCAAATAGAAATACTGAAAGAGAGATGTGATAAATACAATTTTTTAAATGTAATTCAATTCCAGAGTCTTGGCGCGTACCACAATGGCATAGTACAGAGGTCCCCAAAGAGTGATCAGCGACGAGTTGCTAAGTGTGCAGCAAAAATTAACAGAATTCTGTTGAGTAGCAAGTGCCAAACTGGAAAGATTTTAGCCTTTCTAATACCGTATTTATTCGCAAATACGCCGAGTTCAAAACAAAAAAAAAAAGTTGCCCAACTAAGGGACCGTCTTATGCGCGCATAACTCAGATAGCACCAAAAAATCGGCTCCTTCGCGCATCAAGACTTTGATCACGCAACGAAATGATATAATGCTGACTTGCCGGTAATTGCAACAGCTACAGACCATGCTTAATTCTCACGATAAAGAGCGTGCACGCACGCACCACACACGCGATCGCTTGTCTAGGTGTGATTGTCTGATCATAAACGTGACCGCTTGTATTTGATTAAATTTAATTGTATCTTTTGCATAAGAGCAACAGCATTGATCTACCAGCCGTCTCCTGGTCAAAACGTTATCATTTGTGCACAAGTAAGAATCAGATAGAAGTTTCAGGTTGAATAATACTCACAGCATTAATTCTTAACAATAAAACTGTAATTTCAATCATTTTGAACAACCATTTACGGTAACTGAAAGGTTGAAATAACCTGTGAATATGATGTGATAAATACTGTGCTGTACGTCCATGGGTTAGGCAACAGCTGTGTTTTCCGTTTTTTCCTGAATCAGCAAAACGGAAGGGTCATAAATCAATGACTTTATTTCGTGGTAGCCGTTTTCTTTCTGAAGTGCCGTTATCGGGCAGGGAGTGCTTCATTGCACCGGCCACGTTTTTGTTTTTAGGATTAAGACAAATAACAGCTGGTATACAAAGTCAATTAATTAATCGGCAGACACTTTGGCATACATTATAAAATATATCAGCCCATATATGAAGCTCACACAAATCATGTTTGAGAAGACTTACGAAAAATAACCAAATTTATTGCCGTGTCCGCTCAGGATATCTCGACTACCTTAATATAAAATAATGATTGTAAAATATTTTCAATCAAAAATGTCTTCATGTTATACGTTTGGTACTTCAGGTCGGCGCTGATTCAATTCCTTTCATGTTGGCAGTAATTTAGTTGTGCCGCAAAGTGCTGTCTTCCATTACCATAAAACAGAAAATATAATAATCGAAAATTGTTTTAATCAAAATGTGGACAGCGGCGCTAGAATGTGTGTGCCATATACAAGAAGGTAGCGAATCGCGATATTTGAATTGAACATCATTGACTGTAATAGATGCGTGCGCCCTGTTACGATTTGTGGAAACGGCTTATATGCGAATTTTTATAAATTCACTATTTCGAAGCAGTTATTAGGGAGTCGGCTTATCCGCGTGATAGACGTATAGTCGAGAAAATACGGTATATAGTATATCCTTACATATCGTTAGATATCAGTTGATACTGATGCCGGGCTTTGTACAGTAAAAAAAAGCGTTGATAAGCATCGTATAATACTATATCACATCATAGAAATTAAGGTACTTCCCAAGTATGTGAACCAAGATGGTGGACACCGGAACGTAGTATGTATACATGGTTAGGGTTATGCCATAATTTTATTCCAATTTTCCTTTCGGTTTCGGAGTTCAAAGACTAGCCAAGTGATACCCGTAATATATGTATCTGAATTTATTGCCTAATTCTAACCTGGTACACATAATACGTTCAGATGTCCGCCATCTTGGTTCACATACTACGGGAGTACCTGAATGAAACAAAAATCTCACCTTAGACAATGGAAAGCAGTTCGCGGCATCATATGTACCGCGGACATAAAAATAAAAATGTGTGGTAAACTGCCCGGTTATATATTGTTTCGATCCGTATTTTGCGAATTCGGCAAATTTGAGATGTGTAACACTGACTCCGCTCAATCCAAATGCCGCCACTCCGATTAATTTTGAGAACAAACCGTTCGAAAAAATCCATAAATGTGCCGTAAAATCTCAGAGTCAAATATATTTCAGCACAATAAAAATTGATTAAATATACTTTAGATTAATTATATTATATATATTCTCACAACCCGGTAAAAGTCGCGTTTCAAACCTTGTATAATGTTAACACAAAAATTTTCGACGGCAATTTAATTAAGGTAATGGATAATCAGTCAAATCCCGCCCTCAATTAGTGACGATATGTTTCTAAACGCGGACCAAACATAATGTGGAAATTTTGCGATTTTCACTGCCTAGAAAAGCGTTTTTTAAACTGTCGCGGGCTTCAATAAAACATATTTTGTTTAAGGTTTTATTTTCAGTATTTAAAATTGCCACTTTTCAATCAAAAAATTTGCGTTTTCTCTAGAAACTAGCCGCCTATGAACGCATTCTTCGTATTCACAATTCTGTGCGAGTACAAAAATAAAATCAATGTCATCGTTATTGTGGAACAAATTTGTGGAAAATTTGCGTTTTAGAGAAAATAACACAAACGCTGATAAAGCAATCGCGCGCAAGTTCCTATCGAGAATGTTTTCACTCAACGGGAACGTCTTGAAAGCGGTGTCGAAAATGTGTGACATCACACAAATATCCGATATTCTTTTGAACGCTAATTCCGATATTCGAATAACGAGATATTCGAATACATTCGAATACTTTATTCGAATTGGCCATCCCTGTTTGTCTCCTTAACATAATAAAGGTTAATAATAAAAAAATTAAATCTTTAATCAGTTTTGTTCCTGATAACCTTTGATCTTTGCTACTCGACCAAAGCAATTATATTCATTGCCTAATTAAACAGCAAAAAAAGAGAAATTAAATATCGATCAATTCAAATCTATTTTTACTTCCTTGTTCCTGATCACCTTTGACCTTTGCTACCTCAGCCATGACATCATGCACTAACTGCCTTATCTAAGGGTGCTTAGCAGTGTAGTGTTTCACTCCGTAATCCTTGTGCATTCGAATGAAACGAATGTGAGGAGATTTTGTCATGGGGTCAGATGTCGTCTTTTCGAGTCTCACCGAGATGAATGTCGATTCTGTAAGGAATGGAATACTTTGGTTTGAGAATTGGATTTTTTATTTCAAAAGAAAGCGAATCCTAATCGATTAGGAAGCGAAGCTAATAGGGCCTACCAACTAAACTTTGCATTAATGTTGCATCAACACCATGCAAATACTGCTTTTACAGGGCGCTCCAGAAATGTGTTGAAGGGCGACCAGTTTTCTTGTAATCAAAGCCAGAGTTATTGGAAATCGTTTGACTTGACTTGAGAGACGTGTAACAAAGTTGACCATGCTGACTAAGACATGAATAAGTGTGTCTTTGGGAAGCGCTCCAGAAGCATGTGTACCAAAATGGAGGTAACTAATTTTGTTCATCTACTTGACATCAATTTGGGTAAAGGGACTGAAACCTATGGGCAGGGGATATATTTACTTGGCTGACACAAACAGTCCTCGAACACGTAATAGAACTAAAGTAAGAAAATCAGAATGAAATTGTGCCCTAACCTGGTACACATACTACGGGAGTACCCTTTTACAAACCCTGACTTGCTTTAAGCATGGAAAATTCTGATGAGGTATCAATAAAAAGCGAAGGATAGGATTTACATATTTATCCCGGGGGAGAGAAAAGCCGCTAGGACAGCTTAATCATATAGCGAACCGCGGCCTCTCGTCCGATTACCAGTCCTTGTCGGTTATGAGATTGTTTAGCCAGTTATTTGTTTTCCAATGCGTGGACTGACATTTTATTATACTTTTGGGGACAAGAAAATTGGGGCGACCGCTCCTCCCCCCTCCTTGGACTTGATGCACGGAGCTAATCGGTTAATTATTTTGTTTTAATCAATCTGACAATTAGGGCATTATAGCGCTTGTTATGCTGAGGAGTTGAAATAAACTTATATTAAATACCGTACTGTAAGACCGTACCGGTAAATATTGTAAATGTTAGATGATGAATAACTTGATGATGGAGGTTACATGAACCATCTTACGACAGTAAACAGTTTCGCAAGCCATATTCTCATAAATAACATGTTTTGAACCTCTTGAAGGGCGCCACAAAAGCGTGTTAATTCGGTTAGAACGATACACCAACTGGCAAGCCATACCTTTCAATTATTTCTGCCTACATACCTCTGATCATCTTTAGCATGTAAAATCATAACAGGAGCCTTTATTGTCGGCAGATACTTCTCAGTCCTGAGCTCAATGTCATATTGTTTGATATTCTTGTGAACCTGAGACCTCATGAAGGGATAGAGCCGATAGAAATACTGAAAGAGAGATGTAATAAATAGAATTTTTAGATGTTATTCAATTCAAAAGTCTTGGCGCACTACCACAATGGCATAGTACAGAGGTCCCCAAAGAGTGATCAGCAACTAGTTAATAAGTGTTCGCAAAAATTAACAGAATTCTGTTAACAAGGACCAAACTGGAAAGATTTCAGCCCTTCCAAAACATAGCATATACTTGCATATCGTTAGATACGAGTATCTGTTGCTACTGGTGCCTGGCCTTGCACGTGAAAAAAGCGTTAATAAGCATCACATAATACTATATCACATCATTGAAATGAACATACTCCCGTAGTATGTGTACCAAGATGGCAGACACCAGAACGTAGTATGTGTACCAGGTTAGGGTTAGTCCATAATTTTATTCCAATTTTCCTTATTTTAGTTTTATTACGAGTTCGGGGACTAGCCAAGTGACTTTGTAGTATTTGTACCTGAAATCATTGCCTAAACCTAACCTGGTACACATACTTCGTTCAGATGTCCGCCATCTTGGTTCACATGCTACGGGAGTACTGAAATGAAACAAAATATAAATTTCACCTTAGATAGTGGGAAGCAGTCTGCGGCATCATATGTATTCGTGAACGGAGCTTCAAGTATCAGACAGTCAGGGAGTCGAGTGCCATCTTTCTGGTCGTACATGAGCGATAGCGCCCTCGTGCTGATGTAAGTGCGATCAGCAGCATGCGACTCTCTGTTTTCGGAGCTCTGGCTCCCATGAATCAAAGTGGCAACAGCCGTTTTTTGTTAGAAGCCGTGGGGATTCAATGAAAGTCGGAGACATAAAGTCTATTACTACTCACTAATTACACATGACAACAGAAGTCGTGAGCGGAACAATAGGTCGCATCAAAGTGATTCAATTATGTCTGACAAACTTTTTCTTTTTAATTTCAAGTTATTTTTATTTTGTCAGAAACTGAATTATTGCATCAGAAGTGGTTTTCGGTAGTTTTAATAGCCACTGACATTAGAGTAAATGTTGCGGCTCCGAGTACCTTTGAGTTTGACAAAAAGAATTCGACCATATTATTCATACCTGATTTCTGCAGCTCTGAATATAAATCTCTTTGATGCTTGAAACCACGATGAAACGAGTTGCCATGGCAATAAATGATGATTTTCTCAGCGTCTTGTAATGACCCTGATTTGACCTCTGGAGTATCGTACTGAGTGACTGGCGGAATATGCCAAACGCCTAAAGTACTTCCACTCGAAGACTTCACATAGCAGTTCTTGCTCTCTTTAAGATTGTAGGCCTGAAGTAAAAGAAGAAAATTTAGAGTTAGGAATTGATCACTATAATAAGGGTATCTGGTTGAAGCAAGGTTTAGTGCATTTACTCATAAGTGAAGGGACATATTACTGATCGGAGTTATTAAGGACACTCACTCAGAAGTAAAAGAGACTCATCTCTGAGCAAAGTTACGGGTACTCACTCAAAAGTAAAGGAGACGCTTCTCTGAGCAGAGTTACTCGCACACACTCAGATAAGGAGACTCATCTCTGAGCAAAGTTATGGGCACTCATTCAGAAGCACTCACTCATACAAACGTCTTGTAGAAAGTCTTACTTTGTCTGGTTTGTTCAGCTTCAGTAACCATACAGGTGGGCAGACTCTGTTGAGAAATAATCCTTCAAAGACGATTTTTGGATAAATCTTGAAAATCAGCGGAATTGTGACGTAAACCAAGAATCCATAGATCACAAAATAACATGAGGAACTGAATATTCCACTCATGCATTCGTAAAAAATTGTCGCCATTTTTAAATAAAGAGAGAATTCATTCGAACGCAAGTATGATGGGGTCCAAGCAATATCCAAGGGAATGAAATATTGTAGAAAATTGGCTGATGCAAATCTTGGAGAAGTTCAAGTCAGCAAAAGAAACCCAATAAGAATTGCACGATACCAAAGGTTGTTTCTGCTATCACTGTATCAGCATCTGTGTGGTACGTTACCACACTTGTTATTAAAATATAGACATTATTTCATAAGAGAAGTCAACTTTAACCTGTTAACATTATCTGATGATTGAATATGGAACCTAGTACAGTAGGTACAGCAGTACGGTAGTAGTGCACTGTTTGCTACCATACTGCCATACCAAACTACATGAGACTCTTTCCTCTTCCCGGGATAATATAGGATTTACATATTTATCCCGGGGGAGAAGAACGCCGATAAGACGGCTTAATTATATGGCAAACCACGGCCTCTCGCCGGGATTAGTTACCGGTACGGTATGTATTTATTTGTTATTCGGAAGCACAGAAGGGGAGGCGGACAACTCGACTACACGGACAACTCACCACAGACAACTCGACTACCTAGAGGCCTGGTGAGTTGTCCGTCTTTTGGCATTTTCTACGGTGGTGTTTTAGGTCTATAGAAATGCGTTTTTGATATTTTTAGTGCTCAAATGTTGAGAAAAATACATAAATATGCTCTAGAAAGCATTTTTATTTGTATAAGTGGCTTATTTTGATCATGTTGTATGAATACAAATACAGTCTACAGACGAAATTGGAGTAACGTTAGCGAAGTTAGACTGTTGACTTATAGGACTGTGTTCGTTTAATTTTTTGAACTTTATTAGTATTAAATGTTTTGAATGAGAACCTTTAAATATATTAAAATCTTTATACTTCACAGTAACACTTAAATATTTATGAATGTAAGCTCAGTAGTCTATGGTTGCAGTAGTCTAAACTCGCCTACGGCAGTCGCCCGACAGGCCGTCAACTCACCAGTCGAGCAAACGCTCTGCGACGTGACGTCATCGATGCTCGAGGTGAAGACAACTCGACTACCGAGCAACGAGAGGCAGACAACTCACCAGTCGAGCAATCGCTCTGCGATATCGATGCTCGAGGAGAAGACATTGCTTTGCAAAACGCAGACTCAAGAGTTGCATAGCATTTACTTAGTGCCGACTGATATTAGTTGTAAGCCAACTCACCACGGCAAAGTTTCAGTCATAGAGTTGGAATTTATTTTTGCAGAAGAAAACCAGGAACAGATAGGCACTGTCGCTGCTGCGCCTGGCAAAGAAACTGGGCCGAAGAATGGATGAAAGATGTTTACTTTTTGTTACGATTAATGAATTTAATATGATATTTGAATACTAAACGTTACGGGGAAATTTAATGAATGGAAGGTTTTGTTTTCTTTTTCGTTACGAATAATTAATTTTATTTGAATACTAAACGTTATGGGAAATTTGCTGCGTTACATAGGCCTACTTACTCTTTGCAATACTGCGGCCCGTAGATCCTAGAACACCTCCGAAGAAGAGAGTCCACAGATAACTCTCCTTCCTTAAACTGTTCCCAGACACGTTGCACCCTCTCGTTGGCTTCCGCATACCTGCCGTTGACACGCCCCACAACATTCTCTTCCAATATCTCCACAACGTCCGCCCCTATCCCTATACTTACCTCGTACATTGTTGAGATTAAACTTTAAAAAGGCATATTTTTCCGAGTTATACTGTTAAAATGGCGGTGCCTTCCAGATGATTGTTGGTTCTTATTTCTACGTCGAATACTGACCAATCATTGGGAGTCCAGACACTGTTGTGTAGCCATGTGTTTTGAAAATATTCGGCGAAGTTCTTGAGTTTGCATCTTTCATTCATTTGAATCTGGACGTCATAAACATAACTGGTATATAGCACAGCGCCATGACATGCTTGATCAGGTCTCTTGTTCCATCGTCCCTAAAACAAAATAAAAACATGTTAATACAAAAGAAGTGAAAGATGTACAAAGACATAAATATATATATGGTTAACCACTCACTTGTTGTATAGACGAGCCAAATTATTGTGGCGCACATTCTTCATGATGGCCTAAGTGAAGTAATATCCGTGCACGGAGATAGATAAGGTGCCAGATCGGTGATAATGAAGCCGCGCGCCGAGATTACTGCTCGGTTATCGCCGAGTTTAAAGCCTCATTATCGCCGGTCTGAGACCTTACAAACGTAAAAGCACTCTTAAAATATCCCCAAAAATTTTGCAATGGTAAAGTATAGGAAGAATTTTTCTGGGGTCAAAGGTCGGGGAAAGGTCCATTGTTGTATCTCAGCAGATGGAACCTAGCCGTCGGCTGGTAGACTACTCAGGTGGTGAGTTGGCTTACAGTACAACTAATATCAGTCGGCACTAAGTAAATGCTATGCAACTCTTGAGTCTGCGTTTTGCAAAGCAATGTCTTCTCCTCGAGCATTGATATTGCAGAGCGATTGCTCGACTGGTGAGTTGTCTGCCTCTCGTTGCTCGGTAGTCGAGTTGTCTTCACCTCGAGCATCGATGACGTCACGTCGTAGAGCGTTTGCTCGACTGGTGAGTTGACGGCCTGTCGGGCGACTGCCGTAGGCGAGTTCAGACTACTGCAATCATAGACTACTGAGCTCACATTCATAAATATTTAAGTGTCACGGTGAAGTATAAAGGTTTTAATATATTTAAAGGTGCTCATTCAAAACATTTAATACCAATAAAGTTCAAAAAATCAAACGAACACAGTCCTATAAGTCAACAGTCTAACTTCGCTAACGTTACTCCAATTTCGTCTATAGACTGTACCGGTATTTGTATTCATACAACATGATCAAAAAAGCCACCTATACAAATGAAAATGCTTTCTAGAGCATATTTTTTTTTTTTTTCTCAACATTTGAGCACTAAAAATATCAAAAACGCATTTCTATAGACCTAAAACACCACCATAGAAAATGCCAAAAGACGGACAACTCACCAGGCCTCTAGGTAGTCGAGTTGTCTCTGGTGAGTTGTCCGTGTAGTCGAGTTGTCCGTCAGCCCTGTCGGGCGACTGCCGTAGGCGAGTTTAGACTACTGCAACCATAGACTACTGAGCTCACATTCATAAATATTTAAGTGTTACTGTGAAGTATAAAGGTTTTAATATATTTAAAGGTGCCCATTTAAAACTAATAAAGTTCAAAAAATTAAACGAACACAGTCCTATAAGTCAACAGTATACGGTACTTCGCTAACGTTACTCCAATTTCGTCTGTAGATAGATAGATAGATAGTTTATTTCGAAAACTCCATAACAAACCTAAATTAAAAATGGAGAATTCTGGAGGGCAAGCAAAACCTACAAAAAAGTTTAAAACATGAAGTATCTCATGTGCCTGCCCACCAGCACGCACACAAAAACACAAGCCCAATTAAATGAGGCTTGGGCCAAACTTAACAAACAAAATACACGATAGTAATAAACTTAAGACTGTATTTGTATTCATACAACATGATCAAAATAAGCCACTTATACAAATAAAAATGCTTTCTAGAGCATATTTATGAATTTTTCTCAACATTTGAGCACTAAAAATATCAAAAACGCATTTCTATAGACCTAAAACACCACCGTAGAAAATGCCAAAAGACGGACAACTCACCAGGCCTCTAGGTAGTCGAGTTGTCTCTGGTGAGTTGTCTGTGTAGTCGAGTTGTCCGTCAGCCCACAGAAGCACGGACTTAAATAAATATGTATCCTATTATTTGACAAACTGTGCGAGTTACGTACCAATAAATGTCAAACGATCATTATAGTCATGATAACACACATTTATCTCAATTGAAATCAACTTCGCTTTTGAGAAACCGTACCGGTATATTGCAGATTAAAAATCTCAGAAAATCGGTCTCCGTTCCTAACCAGCGTAGTGCGAGAACACGCCCTCCGATGGACGTTTGCGATAACTGTGGAAGCGCTGATTGCGAATTTGGAAGCGCTTTAATAATATTTGACAATTTTATTTACTCAGGATGGGTTTTACATATTTATCCCAGGAGAGAAGCAAGCTGATAAGATGACTTAATAATATAGCGAACCACGGCCTCTCACATTTTATGCCGATGCTTCATCTGAGCGGTGTGCAATCAATATTACAGGAGGGCCAGATGCAAATGGGTGAAGCCGCGGGCCGCACTTAGAAGCTCTATCTACGAAAGGCTATAAAAATCCAACTTACGGAAATTCTTCTCGTAAAAATATTGCGTAGGCCAACGTAAGATTTTCTACACACGAAAGGCCTAATTAAAAACGGAAAACCTAGAAAATGTGTGTAGTGATATTCGTTTATTTTAGGTTAATTTGATGCAGTGCTTGAAGAAGGGGTGTTCAATTTAGAATATCGCGACCTTCGGATATCGTTTTTCGTGGCGCAAATATTTTAGCGCCGCCGTTAATTAAAAACAATTCACGTTCATTTCAT